ACGCAGGCAGGAGGGTTTGGGGGTCCAGCGGCCGTCGGGCTGGCAGGCGCTGGCGGGGTCCCCCAGCAGCAGGAAGCCGGGCCGGCAGCTGTAGCGCACCACGGAGCCCACCCACCAGTCGTTGCCGTGCACCACCGAGTTAAAATCCGCCTCGGGCCGCCCGCAGTTCACTGCGGACAGCGATGCAGCCGGCGCTGGCAGCCCGGGCACGGCCACCGGGACAGCCCCGGGGCTCGCCGGCCAAGGATGCGGGTGGCCCCGGCTGCTGGAGGGGACACCCCCAGGGATCCCCCGGCCTTGCCCCGGCTTTACCTCTGCAGAAGGATTTGTAGCCCAGCCAGCAGCAGCTGCCGTTGCCGCACTGGCTCCTCTTCAGCTCCTTGTGCCTGCCCCTGCAGCCCCCCACGCAGATGGGAGCCGTGCCAGACCAGTACGTGTCCAGCTCTCCTGGGGCCACCGGGGGCAAGGACAGCGCTGTCAGCGCTTGCCCAGCCCTCAGAGCCCCGCAGGGACGGGTTGGAGCCCACAAAAACCCATCCCAGCCCTTGCTGTGCTGAGTGCAGCCAGCTCAGCTCCCATGCCCGCTGTGCCAAGCCTTGCTCTGGCTCCTTACTGGGCAGGAGCGGTGCCAGCTCTGGGCACCCCATCACCCCCTCATCCCCCAAGCCCCTGTTACCTTCTGGGTCCTGGCAGGAGGCGAGCGTGGCCAGCACGGTGAGGAAGAGGAGGCCCGGTGCCATCATCTGCCCTCCTCCCCTCGCCCCTGCAAGCCCAGAGCGCTCTCTGCTCGCCCAGGAGAAAGTGAACTTGGTTTGCCACACACCCCCAGGCCAGGGGATGCCGCAGGACACGGGGGGAAGGGAGGAGACATTCCCTTTAATGCCAATCCTCTCCCCAGCAGATAATCTCTGGCAGATTACCCTGCCTGGGCAGTGTTTAAAGGGCCACTCCCCGCAGCCAGCCCCAAACCCAGCAGCAGCAGCACAGCCAAGTTTGGGGCACGCAGGGGAGGGCCAGGCTGGAGTGCTGCGAATGCAAAGCTGGCACAGGGCCCTTCTCTCAAGGCATCCTGAGCCCGGCTCTGCCAAAGCCAGCCCAGCTCTAATCCTGAGCCCAGCTCTGCCAGGGCCAGCCCAGCTCTAATCCTGAGCCCAGCTCTGCCAAAGCCAGCCCAGCTCTACTCCTGAGCCCAGCTCTGCCAGGGCCAGCCCAGCTCTATCCTGTGACAGGCACATTCTTCTCTCTCTCAGGATTTTTTTCATAGAGGAGTACAGAGGAAAGAAAAACGATTTCTATTTCTGCTCCTTGTTTTTCCCATGTGGAATGTGTTTAGAGAATTGCTTACCTGGGGTGATGCTTGGTTGGATTCTGGTGAGGATTGTTTGAGCCTGGTGGCCAATCCAACCCCCCTGGGGCTGGACTCTCAGAGAGGGGCATGAGTTGTGAGTTAGATATGGGAGTTAGTTAGAAAAAATAGGTTTGTAGTTTTAGTATCTCCTTTAAATAGTATATTAATGTATTATAGCGTAGTTATAATAAAGAAACCATTCAGCCTTCTGAGCTGGAGTCAGACATCAGCATCTTCCTGTCAATCCACTGGATTCACCTGAATTTACAATCCTAACCCTGAGCCCAGCTCTGCCCCAGCCAGGCAGGGACAGGAAGGCTGGGCAAGGCAAGTGCCCGGGGCAGGGATGCTCTGCCTGGAGCAGGGAGCAGCCTCCAGCAGTGCTGTGCTCTCACAACACTCCTGCCTCTCCTCTGGAGGTGCTGGGACCAAGGGCTTTCCCTCAACACCCCGAAATTCCAGCAGCTTTTGCTCAGCTGCTCCAGAGGGAGCAATGGGGAAAAGTCAGTGCCCAGCCAAGAGCAGCAAGGTGCCTCCCTGTGCCCCCCATGGCACATCACCTCCACACACAGGGCAGGGAGGGCCTAAATGGCACTCCAGGGACCCCGAATTCACCCTGTCCTCGTCCAGCCACTCCAGTTCACTCTGTCACTTGTCCCTCTGGCTCTGCTCACAAGCCCAGGCTACTCCCTGTGTTGCAGCCAGCCCTGGGGAGGCAGCAAAACTCAGCAACACGAGTGGCAGAGCTAAACCCAGCCCTGCAGTGCCACCTCTGGGGAGCAGCACGCTCCAGTGCCAGCTGCAGAGCGCCAGGAGCGCCTGGCAGCTCCTCGGTGCCCACCTCCCACGCTGCACCAGCCCAGTGCCATCCCCAGCCCAGCACGGCTGGCAGGGGCAGGGCTGAGCAGAAAAACACAGCAAACACCGCTGGGCCTGGCAGCCTGATGTTTATTTGTCTTGCCAAAGAACACTTTGCCCGGCCAGGAGCCCAAACCCCAATGTGGGGAGGGCAGCCAGGGGATGCCAAAAGCAGCAGGAAGCTCCCAACGTCGCGGTGCTGCGCTGGCCTGCACAGCTCCAGCACTGTCCTCCCAGAGAGCAGGGCTGGGCTTGGGATCAGGGGGGCAAACACCACCCCCAGCAGCAGGGGAGGCAGGAAATGTGTGCAGGACGTGCTGATGAAGGTGTGACACCCCCTGGAGAAGGAAGGGCTGGGGCAGGACAGGCCTGCCAAGGGCCACACGTTCCCAGCAGCAGAGTGTGCTCCACACCCATCCTGCCTGGGGAGCACCTCACAAGGGCACAGCTGCTGAGCACCCCACCCTGCCAGGCCTAGGCCAAACCCCCCAGAAGGGTGGGAGAAGCTTGAGAGGCCGCAGTCCCCAAAAGGAGGAGGCAGACAGCTCTTTCCAGCTCAGATCACTTGATTCACACCCGGGACGTCTGTCCTTCCCTTCTCACATGCTGACCAGAACCAGCAGCCAGCGAGGCTGGGCTGGAGGCAAGCCCTGTCCCCAAGCATTCCAGCAGGCTGAAGGTCTCCTCCTCACAGGATCTGGATGCCCAGCTCCTCAGCTGTTTTCTGCAGCCTGTCCATGACGTTCTCCTCCAGCTCCAGGGCCGGGGCTGCCGTGCCTTGCTGCTCCGAGGCCGTGCTGGCCATCACGTAATAGACAGTCTCACTCTGGCCCTGCTCGTTGGTCCTGCTCACCACACGGATGATGGGGCTGCTGGTGCTGCTGGCTCCTTGCTCTGAGGAGGAGGAGGAGGAGGAGGAAGCTCCTGGGAAGGGGCTCGGCCGTGCTGGCTCAGGGCTGGGAGCAGAGCACAGGGCTGGGGGCACGGGCAGCTCGGCTGTGCTGCTCTCTGCTGGGGCAGGGTTTGCTGGAGGCTCCAGAAGGATGCCCTGCAGGCTGCCCTCGCCCTCGGGCAGCACCACGCACTCGCTGGGGCCATCCAGAGCCTCGCCACGCTTCTCCCTGTCCTGGAGCAGCTGCTCTGTCAGCTCCACGCTCTCGTAGCGCACCAGCTGCAGCCTCATGTAGCCATCCTCGTGCTCCCTGTACCTGGGCACAGACAGGAGGGGTCAGCCAGGCACATCCCCCTTCCCAGGAGATGGGCAACAGCCAGGAAAGGGCACAGCAGCTGAGGTTTCCATCCCTGTGCTGCACAGATGCTGTTTCAGCCTCTACCCCCATGTGGCAGCTTCAGAGCTTTGTGCCAGGCTCAATCCCCTCCCCAGCCCCTCTCTTTCCACCACTCTGTTTCACCGGGAGCATTTCAAGTCCTTCCTCTTCCCCTCCCAGCTTTCAGGCTCTGGAAACCCTTTGGAGTTTCCTCCAAAGGAAGCAGAAGCTCCTGTGCCAAGATGGATCCCTGGAGCTGGCCCCTGCCCAGCTCAGAATTGTCCCACAGAGGCAGCAGTGATGGCACCACCGCCCTGGAGCTGCCAGGCAGCGCTGCTCAGATCCCACTGAACATTTACTGCCCAGTGCCTCCCAGCCACTGGGAAAAGGGTCTTGAGCACATCTGCAAACATCAGAGCCCAGGCACTGCCAGCACAACGCAGGGTGCAGCTCCTGCACTGCAGAGGAGGCACCGAGCAGCTAAAGGTGAGCAGTACCTGAAGCGAGGATGTCCCGAGGGCCATTTGAACTGGTGCTTCTTCCTGAGGTGGACAGTGAGGTTGTTCCCCCGTGTGAAGCACTTGTCACACACGTGGCACTTGTACCGCGGCTCGGAGTCACCCTGAGGGACACAGAGAGCGACGTCAGAGACAAAGAAAAGCTGAGAAGACTGACAGGGGGCATCACGAGCCATGGCTTCCCACCTCGTGGACCTTCCTGTAGTGCAGTTTGATGGAGCAGAGGGACCGTGCAGAGAAGCTGCAGGCCTCGAACTCGCAGCGATACGCCGGCTCTTTGCTGTGCGTGTCCAGGTGCTTCCGCAGGTCGATGAGGTTCTTGCAGCTGTGAGGGAGCAGAGCTGCAGCACACACACCCCCACACACCCACAGAGGCTCTGGGAGGTCGGGGAGGGGGCCAGCACTGGCCCTCACCTGTAGTCACAGTAGTCACACTTGAAGGGGCGCTCCTCGCTGTGCCGGAAGCGGATGTGGTTGCGCAGCGAGGAGGGCAGCGGGCACGTCATGTCGCACAGGGGGCACTTGTAGTGGTTCACTGGGCCAAAAACGGGGAGGAAACATCAGCCCAGAGCAGGGCAGAGCAGCCAGCCCACGGGGGCTGAGCTGGGAGCTGGGCCCTGCACTCACCGTGGTTCCTCATGTGGTCGCGGAGCAGCCTCTCCGTGGCAAACCTCTTGGAGCAGTGGGAGCACTGGAACCTCTGCTCTGCACAGGGAGGGCACAGGGAGAGCAGGGCAGGGAGAAGAGCACGGAGAGCGGCGAGCAGAGCTGTGCCAGGGGGCTGGGAACCCTGCTGGGCAGCCCTGGGTCCCCACAGGAGGAACAGCCCCCATCCTGCCTCTGCCAGGAGACACTTCCTGGAGGACACGGCCTCCAGCTGGGCCAGGGGAGGTTCAGGTGGGACATCAGGAGGAATTTCCTCATGGGAAGGGTGAGCAGATGCTGGAAGGGGCTGCCCAGGGAGGTGGGAGAGTCCCTACCCCTGGTCAGGGCACGGCTTGGCTGCCAAGGTGAGGATCAATCCCAGGCTGGACTCAATCTCAGAGGTCTTTTCCAGACAAAATGGTTCTGGAATTCTGTGGCTCCCACCACTCAGCAGCCAAGCCAGGCTGCTCCAAGCACACCCTGCCCTTGGCTCACAGGGTACAGACAGCTCCAGCCACCCAAAGACCCCAGCCCAGGACCCCCCAGCCCCTCCCTGCCCCCGGGGCTTACGCTCCAGGGCGGTCTGGCGGCGGATGTGGTCGAAGAACTTGGTGTTGTTGGCAAACATCCCCCCACAGGTGGGACAGGCCACCACCTTCTCCTGCGTGTGGCTGCGCAGGTGCTCCCGCAGCTTGCAGCGGCCCTTGAAGCTGCAGTTGCAGTCTGGGGAGGGACAGCACAGCTGAGAGCCCTCCCAAGGGACATAGCCTCACTCAACAGCAGCTTCTTCATGCTGTTTTGGCCAGCAAAGCTCCAAAATCCCCGCAGGGCAGAGCGAGATCGGCACGGTGCAAACAGTGTGGGCTCCCCCCAAGCAGTTAAGGCAATTGCACAAACACAGGAGGAATGAATGAAAGAAATCAAAGTAAAAAAAAAATCAGCTTTTCTCAAAGGTGGTGATTACACATAAATAGGAATCACTCAGCTGGATTTGCCGAGGGAACTCCTGCAGGAATATTTCACGGTCAAAACCATGAAATTTGAAAATCTGCTTTTGAAGGCCAAGAGGCTCTCTGAAAGCTGCTCCCCTGTACGTGTTTGCCACCCAGCCCAAAGCTCTCAGGAGAGGCCCTGCAGGCTCCCACTGACCTTTCCAGCCACAGAGCAGCACGTGGTTCTCCTTCCCTGCTGCCTTGTACTCGGAGCAGAAGCTGTGATCCTCCACGTGCCGGTAGAACCACTCGGGGTTGTCAAATGACCTCTGAGGTGGGCAAGGACAACAGGACAGGGTGAGAGAGAGCACAACAATCCAGGATGCTCCCACACAGCTGCAGAGCCAGCAGCTGGGCAGCTGTGCTGCAGCACTGTCGGGGTCTGCTTGCTTGGAATGACCCCAAAGTCATAAAAGTCCTTGTTCCCCTAGCCTGGCAGCTGAAGGAGAGGTCTGGAATGAGTGAAGTTGAGTTTTCCAGGTTGTTTGTTCTTTCTGATCTATAAAATTCTCTCTCTGACCTGTTGAGCTCTGTCTGGTACAGAAGCCAGAGCAGTCTCCCCTGAGCCTCGGGCAGCTCCCACATCAGATACTCAGAATTCCGTGTTGTCTATTTACAGATTTGTGCCAAAGCCCTCCACCTGTGTTAGACTGTGAATCTCTGCCTTGAACCAACAGAAAAGTGTCACCAGCACAGCAAGGCATGGAGGGCAAGAGAAAGGGAAAAATGCTGGGACACCCCAGATTTTTCCATCTTGTACCCCTGAATTACATCCTAAAACAAAATTCCACTTTTCCACCCTATGTCAATTCAACTACCACACTGCTCAAACCCTTGTGGTTTGTAACTCCTCATACAGAGTTGGCAGCTTTTTCCATTGGCTAAAATGGAAGCCACAGGTGGTTTTGACTCCGTGCCAAGGTCTGGGGACAGCCAGAGGGAAGTCCTGGGCTCTGAGACTGCCCAGCAGCACCTCCCGTGTCCCGCAGAGCCCCGTGCTGTCACCTCACAGTACTCCCAGAGGCAGAGGAAGTCCTCCTGGATGTCAGGGATGATGTTGTGGCTCTGGAAGTCCAGCTGGCAGGGGCTGAGCCCCGCCTGGCCCTGCAGGGCCCGCAGCCCCCACTGCTTCAGCTTGCTGTGGTAGCAGTGGAAGTAGACGTGGCGCACCAGGTCGGCCGAGCTCGCCGGGGA